CATCACCAAAGTAACCAAATATAACTTTCTAACAAGGCTCATTGGTTCCACTGATTGGCATTATATTGGAGAATGACAATGGTCAAAGGCCTGACTGATAATCATAGCATTGAAACACAAGCCTTGTTGCTGTTGGTATTTCACTTATTGAGCATAAGGATGTTCCAATGTCTCTTTTATGTAACAACAGCAACAACTTTCATTTATATAGCCCCCCTCACACAGGGTTGCATCCCATAGCGCTTGACAGTGGCGGAGCACGACACCTAGCTAGGGGAAGCGGGAGGTGACCATAGGCACAACCGAATAGGAAGTTCTTCAGGTGTGACCAGAAGATGGGGAAGGAAAGGACAAGGCGGAGGGATAGAGAAAGAGTGTTCCAGAATTTCAGGGTGTAGTGGCTGAAAGCGCAGTCATCGATGGTGGAACAGGGGGTGTGAGGGACATGCAGAAGGCCAGAGCCAGTCAAGTGGAGGCAGCGGGTTGTGGGTTGTGGGGTAATCAGATCGGAGAGGTAGGGAGGTGCCAGGGCATGGAGGGATTTGAAAACGAATGTGAGGATTTTGAAATCAATCCATTCGGTGATAGAGAGCCAGTGGAGCCTGCCTATAACTGATGTGATGGGGGTACAGAGTTTAGTGCTGGTTGGTATGCGGGCGGCGGATTTTTGGATCAGCTGGATCCTGTGCCTGGTGGAGCTGGAGCGAACAGTGAAGAGGCATTTGAAAAGTCGACTCCTAATACTGTTAGCACTGCCAGCATTATTCTGTGCAGCACTCTGTGTCGCAGTCTTCAGACGCTCATTGAGTCATATCAGCCAACTAGAAAATAGCATTTCCGTACCAAAACATGAACAGGCTTTTCCATTGTTTATTAATATATAATAAATATATTTGTTGTTATATTCTGCAGAAAATTGAATCTTGCCATATTTGGAAGCAAGCCTCCAATTCAAAATCCAAGGGATAGATGATTTAATTAAGGAAGGTGCAAACTCATACTGCGGGAAATAGATGAGTATATTTTTACCAAAATATTATTTGGTTTGGAAGGCAGTAGCACAGAAACAAAAGTTACAACATATGTTGAATATAAAATATAATGAACTTATCAAACCAAAGAATTACAGTACCTCACTGTTCTGCAGGCAAAATGTGCTTTGTATACGAGTAAAGCTTCCATTTTGGAAGCTTCCACAATATTAATGGACTTCAAAGGAACTCAGAAATATCCTGCTGTATGCAGGGTATATATTTATCCTATTTTGTGAAATAATTCTTTGTTGCTTGCGGGGAAAGGCACAATGTAGTAAATCCGTGCTCAAGTAGGCAACTCATACCATTTTTAAATATTCACATTTGTATGCAGGTTGAACACCTTCAGTTTGCAATAGGTTGTTCGGCTCAATTGTATTTCCCAATACAATTTTCAACAAACAAATCTGTTGGCCTCTTTCCATCCATCAGCTTATAGAAATTATTTTGTTTGGCATGTTTATTAGAACTGACATTGATTGCATTAAACAAAGTAAAGCTGCTTCGCTCTCAGCTATAGGCATTGTGGAGCAATACAGCCCCCGATTTATTTTATTTTTATTCCTTTTTTACATTTTACATTTACATTGCAGGCCTGCTAGAAAACTATTTATCTATATATATATATTTTGTATCAGGCTTGTTAGAAATTAATACCTAAGTTTGGAATTCTGCTTAAGCATTTCACGGACTGCAATTGATTTTTTTCAAAATTGAAGAGTCAGCTTCACAAAATATGTGAAAGAGCACTTAATCTATTAAGCCCACTCTTTCCATTCACCACATACAGCCAGAAGGGTAAGCCACAGTGAAGACTAGATAAGACAGGAATTATATAGATTGGAACACACACCAGTTCCAGATGAGGTAAAGCACAGACAAAGCAGGCTTAGGCTTTTCTGTTTAGCTCCATTGCGAAGCCTCTCTAACTCTTTCCCTCCCTCCTTTCCTTCATTCAAAGCGTGCCTCAAAATGTATCACTGATCGCGCTTTCAGCCTTGTTTTCCCCCCCCATCGCCCTTGGCTGCCACCCCCAGCTCAGCAGTCAAGCGCTTTGAGATGTCTTCCCGGTGTGAAAGGGATTATATAAATGCACTTTGTATTGTAACTTCAAAGAATGTTTCCTGGTGTACTAGAGTGATTTTGTCTATCATTGTCCCACACCAATGTTGTGTTGGCCTCCGAATGAGACTGCCTACTTTGTGACTTTTCGATGGAGCCATAACTACTAGGAATTGGGTTGAGCATGCCCAAGTGTGCTTCACTCTCTCAGCTGACAAACAGATGAGATTTTCAAGCGAAATGAAGGCTGCTAACCCACTGCACCATCCAGTTCAGTGACAACTTATCTGTTGAATTGTTTTATTAGAAAGCTAATCTAGCCTCAGACACATAGGAATGTATCATCAGCTGCTGACATGCTGTATGGGAATGGTTGAGTAGCAGTGTTAAATTGTATTGTGTAGAATTAGATTGAATCCTGTAGATCACAGCACTGTTTGGCAACATTGCGGGTTTGTGTCTGTAATATTATGGTGAAAATTGCTGCCTATGATGAATTAACACAAAATGTCCTACTTATCGACAGATAAACATCAATTGGTCTGCAGATGTGCCTCCGGCTAGACTCCCTGCCAATAGTGTTTCAAAGGTGAACTTCATTTTGCCATATATAATTTATAGTTACCATATAATTACCTATTATGACAGAGGCAAAAGGCTGGTTAATTTCATTTACCCTTCCTGTTATATTACACGATATACATATTCATCATTTCAAAACATAGTTATAGCAGACATTTCAGAATAACAACAGATCCCAAAGCACACTTTACAACAATGTAATAGTCATAGGTACATTACAATAGCCAAATCATCATAGATTGTATTAAATATCTGGAGATAGTTCTTTACAAACTATGACACACTCAAACAGTTGTTATATATAAGCAAAATATTACGAACCTATCAATGGCACGATTCATACATTACGACTTTAGGGAATTATTTAATTTGGATTATTATTCAATTAATATAATAGCAACTGTAGAACAATGCAAAATCTCTTTGAAACAGACTTGAACACTGAACAGATCTACAAATTGTTTCACTGAAATTAGGAAAACATAGTCAGTATTTTTTAGTATCCAAACTATACACCAATAACAAGGAAAATTTAATGATAAGGTGCCACATTTAAATATTAAGACAGTTCCTACAGTTATGGTCATCTTATACAGAATCTATTTCCAAACTATAAAGTGCTTTAGGCACTCAGTTGTGGTGTATATTAATATGAAGACATGAAGCATATATATATATTACAGAAATAGGGCCATATTATACACCTTTTTATTAGGACCAGACTGAGTGCTGTTTTATTCTGTTAAAAAAAACAGATTTCATATTATGATTTGACTCAAACGTATCAGAATGGAATCATCATGGATTTAATATACACTTAACATTGAATGTCCAGATTACATAATGATGAGAACTAAACCTAACAGTTTCAGATCATTGGAGAGCAAGGGATTGCTTGACCCTCATTTTTTGTGTTTTGAAGGAATCAAGATTTCTACACAGCTCATATATTTTGGAGTACCTCAGCGATTCCTAGTTTGGTCCAAGGCCTCTTGCATTTTGGCAATGTCTCTTCAATTCCTGAGCATTTGATTTGTTTAAGGAGTCTACAGTGTTTGCATATTGTTCCAGATATAGAAAGAGATACTCTAGTCTCAATGGATGGCACATTTATTTAATATCCATTTCCAAACACTTTTAAAATAAAATGGTCATCTTTTGTGTAATGAATGCCTTATAATATAATAATAATAATTTAATTTAATATAGCGCCTGATTTCCATATAACTGAGGTGAATTTTGCGGTATTTCTTTAAACATTCTGTTAAGAAGTAATGGAAAATGAATCCTAAAGTACATTATCAAATGTGTCTACTAATGATTGATAGCTTTCCAATAAAAACTTCCCTGTGCTCGCAAACTGTAAGTCATTTGCACAGATTGCTTGGTAAAAGACCTACATGGGCTGAGTTGAATGAGCAAGCGCTCTGAGATGCTACCTTGCTTGAGGGGCGCTATATAAATGCAAGTTGTTGTTGTTCTTGAACCGTATGCAATTGCAGCATATAGCAGCATTCCTAGAATTTGCTTCATCTATTTATTACTAAATTGTATGATGCACCGCAATTTCTCTATTCTATTGAGCAAGATTTATTTCAACACTGTATATCTAACAGACTTAAAATGGAATTAGTTTAATGCAGTTAAAAATGCTCTGATACTGTTATAGGTCGACTTGTTAGCCATTCATCTGATTAAAGTGTGCTCAGTCTGCTGGCAGGGCAATGCTTTGTGAAATGTGCTCCAATCACTTTATGATGTGTGCTTCTGTACATTTTCAGTTTACACATTGTGATACTGAAACAAACAACTTTTTACAACAATATAGATACTCAAAACAGCTGGCACAACAATATTACTGCATAATTAATTTAACTCAATAGCACAGCTATCAACGTAAAACAATTTTAACTGAAACAAACATTTACTTATACTCACCCTGTTGTAACTTTTCCTTGTGTTTTCTGCCTTCTCTACCTCCTTTTGTTATTGATTCTATTTTACCAACTTCTATTGTTAAAAAATTGTTTCTGGTAGAGTGGTTACAACTGATTACCATTTTCTCAAAGTCAGCCTGATAAACCCTTTGTGAGGCCAATAATATAAAAGTTTAATGATTGACAGGAGCACCTCACTGATACAATTTCCACAGCAAAAAGAAAATTAATCAGTTGGCAACACATTTGCAAATTCGCTAAATCTTAATTGGATAGATTATTAATTTGCAATTATTTATTTGCCTGCATGTCTAGTTCATTCTGTCAAGTCTAGTTCATTCTGACATGTCTAATTCATTACAGAATACAACTTCTCATCCAGATTTCAGGCATGGCTGATGACTACCTTGGGAGTTGCACTGGCGTCATCGAAGGAGACTTCCTTGGTGGACAGATAGTGCTCAGCGATGTCTTCCATTTCAGTGTTAAAATGACTGGGGCTTTCATTGGAAGAGTCCTTGATGACACTACAATTAAGGGCCACATTATAGCTGGTGGGCTTCTCCAATTGCTTCTGCTTACAGTTACACAGCTTCCTGAAAGCAGCTCGGAATTTCTGAGACATCAGGTTGTAAATGATTGGGTTGACTGCGCTGTTCAGATATATGCAGATTCGGCAGAAGAGCAACACCCAGGGATCTGTGAAGGGCTGGCTCAGGAAAGAATTGATAACTACAAGGGTCCTGTAAGGCATCCATAGCAGAGCAAACAGGATCACCACCACAGCCAACATCTTGGTCACCTAAACAATCACAAAGTACATTAAATAGATTAAAACGAAAAGTACTGTTAGCTTGTAACATATCTGTTTGCAGATAAGTAATAATAATAATAGTATTCCTTGCATTTGATTCAGTGCCTTATCACATTGTTGAGCCATCTCAACATGCTTAATAATAATAATGATTAATGAGAAATAATAATAAATAAGATACTTGCATTTGATATAGTGCCTTGTCATAAAGAAACATCTCAAAGTCCTTCACAAAATGAGGCAAGATGTAGTGACTCTTATTGTTTTGGCAAACACACCAGCTAATTTGCACCTAGAAAATCCCAGTGAGAAACATTGCCAGATTTAATTTGGGCTTTTTTGTGTGAATTTGGACACTGAGAATTCCCTGTTCTTTGAAGTTGGGATTTTTAATAATAAATAATTATCCTTGCATTTGATATAGCGCCTTAGCAGGTCGTTGAGACTTCGCAAAACACTTCACAGGATAACGTAATGTAAAGTTAACTGACTGTCTATTTTGTGGGTAAAACGTCTACCTTAACGCCTACCTGAACAGCATGCAGAGACCTCAGTTCAACATCTCAGCTATGATATCTCCAGAAACGTAGGCGTTCCTCGGTACTTCAACAACAACTATAACAATTTGCATTTATATAGTTTATATATCATTTAGAAGCCCTTTGTGCAGGATAGTGTCTTAGAGCACTACACATTTAGGATCATGAGCTCAAGTCCAGGTCATGGGCATTGAATCCAAGATCTGCTACATTGGTCAAGATGCCTCCCTCATCTGGAGCCCTCTAGGAGGTTCTGTAGCCTGAAATCAGCAGCATTAGGTTGGCCTCCTAACTGTGATGCCTCTCCAGAGTGATGATAATGTGCCATTTGCCTGGGGCCCAGTTCAAGGGTACTTATGTTAGGCTCTTTTCCTGAAAGCTTCTGAATCCATTTTTCCTTGGATAGGTTTCCATGGGTGCCAGGGGTACTTTATTTTGTACATTCAGTCCGATAAACAGCCATGAGTTGAATGACCAATGAATCTGATTATTGTTCCCACAATACAAGGAGAAACTTCTCAAATACTTTCTTCTCAAATATTGTGATGGGTTCTTTAACATTCAACTCAACAGTCAGATAGGTTCTTGGTTTATCATCTCATGCAAAAAGATTGGTACTCAACAATGCAGTGCTCCCCCAGTGCTTTCAATGGAGTTTCAGCCTAAACAATGAGCTCAGGTCCCAACGTGATGCTTAAATCCACAGCTTTCTGATCCAGTGGTGAGAATGTTATCAACTGAGCCAAGCTTTTTAAACAGAGTACAGAATGGCGCCAGCAGGAAAACATATGCTGGTCACTCAAGAATTATTCCACTCTTCCTTTTAATTTTCACCTCTAGATCTATTCAAGTGAATACAATATTTATCCTCCAATCTAACAATGTTGAACTGTATAGTTTTTGCTATTTTCCATATGCTGGAGTGAGAGCTGAATCTATCCATGTCATCATCATCATAATAATAATAATAATTGTTCAGTTTGATGTAGCACTTTATCAGGTTGTCAAAACATTTCAAAGGGCTTCATGGGAATACTGTAATGTGTTGTGACTGTGTATTTGTAGCTGAATGCTTATGTTCATAGAATCATAAACACAGGAGCAGGTTATTCAGCCCACTGATCTTAAACTGATACAAGCTCATCCACTGGAGCCAATTGCTCTAATCTGAATTCCCTTTACATTTCCTATATCCTTTTACATTGTTCAAATCCAATTCTGTTTTAAATATTGTTATGGTTTTAGCCTGAATATCTACCTATACTCCCACATTTATTGGTTCATGTACCTGCACCGCTAGATATTTCTTGGGTACAAATTCCATTGAGCATTACACTCAGCACTTTTGGATCTGTCCCCATCATTTCCTCACTGTCATTAAGAACTTAAGCTTACGTCAAAATCATACAATACTGCCACGGTTTGTCCTTCCTTAATTTTAATTGTACATTTTTTAATCAAAATAAAATTTAGGTTTGTTGATTAAGTTTGTTTATTATTTTTGATTATTATCATTGCATGGTTGTTTGTGGGACATTATTGTGTGAAAATTGGCACATAAATTTGCCTAATATTTGTAAATAAAATACAGTCACTACACTATATAGGATTATCTGATGTTTGTACTTCCTGGCAAATTAAAATCGTGTCACCCACATCCATTAGTCGGATCAAAGAAAAGATTATTATTTTCATCATGCAGTTTATTGTTGTTGCAACTGCCATGAACTTTTTTGTAATTGGAAAAAAAAGTTAGGTTGTTACATAGGATCAAAACTATGAGGGTCAATTGAATCTGAGTAAAGTGAATCTGTGAAAGCAATAACAGAAGGATCTGGATGGTAATGTGAAGCTTCTGACACTCACTATTGTCAGTCTACAGAATAGTTCATTGTTGGGCTCTCACTTTACAACAATTACATAACATTTTCCAGTAAACTGTTCCCATCGGTAAACTTTGCTGTGTTCGAATGTTTTGAAAGGAAGTAGCTAAGTTGATCGAAATCCGAGTTGCAGACTTTTTTTAAAAAAAACAGCACAAATTATTGTGAGTACAGACTTGACGTGACTGGTTTCTAATCAAAACACATATCTTGGCAAAGTCTCGCATTTTACCCGCATGTTTAAACGGTGCCTTTTCAAATAAAGTACTGTATTTTAATATTTACTGTTTAACTAAACTATAATACCGATATTTTCTATAGATTTGTGCAATCATCCATAATAGGGTTTCCGGGTTAGTTTTACGTGTATTTCTGGGATCTGGGAGTATATAATACATGTGTCAACTTGTATCACAGTAATCTAGGAAGGTCGCTTCCCTTCCTTTACTTTAACAATTCAACTGCTTGAGTGCTGGTGGGTTGGAAACCAAAGCAGGAGGCAGGCTTGTGGTCTGTCTGATGTTTGTACTTCCAGGAAAATGAAAATCCTTCCACTCGTGTCCATTCGTGTGATGGTAAAGTTGTGTACACAATAGGAATGAATGGCCAGCATGAAAGTAAAGGCTCCAAATAGAAAGAGATGGTAAGTAGCTGTGCCTACCTGTCTCCTGGATGTGACTGTGCTGCTGGAACTGCGGCTGGATGTTTGGGGATCAGTTGGCTTTGAAGCCTGTTTGGGGCAAGTGGTCCGGCTCTTCCACCTCTTGGTGCTGTTCTCTTTAGGATCGCTGGGGATCGGGTTCAGGAACAGAATTCTCCCGATCAGCCAGTACAGCACTGTGGCCAGAACCAGGGGCACCACGTAAAATATAAAAAAATCTAGAAAGTAAATGGGCAAGTAAAACTTTCTGGATACTTTGTAGTCACAGGTCACCACAGTCATGTCCCTGTAAATGGTCTGCTTAATGTCCAGCAGGAAGAACCACATCACACAGTAACCAGAGGTGACAGTCCAGACTATCAGGATGATCTTTTTGGCTCTGGAGATGGTGCAGATGAACTGGGCTTTGATCGGGTGGCAGATGGCGATGTATCTCTCGATGGTGAAGGCAGTTATTGAACAGGAGGAGACATTGATTCCCAAATACTGGAGGTAAGTGATGGATAGGCAACCAACGTAGCCATAGATCCAGGACCCATGGGTGGTGTTGGTGATGTTGGGGAGACCTGCAGCCACCAGTACAACCAAGTCAGCTATTGCCAGGCTCACGAGGTAGCAGTTAGTTGGGGTTCTCATGTGCTTTGTGGTGAGGACCACCAACACGACCATGCCATTGCCCACGATGCCAGCTCCACAGATCAGCAGGACGAGGACGATGCTCACCACCTCGTACTCAAGACTGTGCTCCGTCCTGTTCTCGCAGGCGGTCCTCAGCTGACCTGAGTCATACAGGGTCAGGTTGTCTTCCATCTCCAAACTATTAGCTTCACACTCGGGCCAAGCAGTGGTCTTTTTCACTGGGCTGCTGCCAAGCACTGCTGCTGCTGGTGGTGGTGGTGGTTTGTTTCCATTCCTGAACCCTCCCAGGGCTGTGGTGAGGGGAGTACAAAAGACACACTGTTATCAAAAGAGGCAGCAAACCACTTGTAGTGTTGCTTTGGTCTGTCGCTCTGCTGGGTATTTGCCAGCCAATTCCAGAGAGACAATCTGGATGAGGTTGTCCATTCAAAAAAGTAATTTTATGACACTGGGTGCAATGAACCATCAATATATATACCTGTTAATTTAACACCCGAGGTGACACGGAATTTATTTCAATTAATTGCCCCTATATATATATGTATGTATGTATTTTTAAAAAAACGATGTAAAATGCAGACAATAATTATGGTCACGAATGCAGTGCAAGCTGGTGCTCAGGGGTTCAAGTTGAGCGTTACAAGTACAAGTTAATACTAAACAGCAACGATCGTATCCAGGGTTGGACAAGTCTGCTTCACTGAATCCGATTTCGTTAAGTCACAGCGGACAAGTCTATTCTACCCTCTGGAAGCTGTCTCAGAATAGAACCTCACATTGTTAACTCATTATATTAACAACAGCTCAGTTATAACACTTTTCACCTTAAAAGTTGAAGTTGAAGCAAAATCACCAATGCATTGGTCCATTGCTCTGCTAATACCACAGTGTAGTTCAGCCAAAGCCACAACCCACAAGTGCTCATTTAGAAAATCTAGTTTTTGTGTGTGTGGTGTGTGTGTGTGTGTGGTGTGTGTGGGGGGGTATCTGATCTATAAGAAGCTGAAGCACATTGAGTGTGATCGCTTGCAATTTGGAGATCTATCAGGGTATAAGTTTAGTTAACCCAAAAGGTACATTTTTTCTTGGAAGCCCCCCCCCCCCCCTCCCTCCCCACACTCTTATTCTCATCACTGTCCCCCACTCGGCAATGCCCTCATTACACCCATGTTCCTGCAGCTCCCTCTGCCCTGACCTCAGCAGCCTTTCCTGGTTAGTGATCACCTGCACCAAACAAACAGGACCAGTGCCCCCTCTCTCTCTCTCTCTCTCTCTCACACACACACACACACACTCGGGTGTCTATAACGAGTTGTACAGGTTCATGCATTCAGCAGTTCTATTGGAGAGAGAGTTCCACACCCACGGGTTTGAAGCACTGGCAAAGGTTAATTTGCCTTTGATGTCCCCCCCTTACCTTTTCAGCGCTTGCTGTCAAGTGTTCCTTTCCTCTCTGCCTTTCCTTGGAATTTTAGACCAAGGTTTGCACCTGGAGGTGGGGTGGCTTGAGCTGGAGCGCAGTCTGCTGGCTGTTCCTCCTTCCCCCTGGTTGCTTGTGTGTAATCTGAAGCTCTTTTTGTCTGAATGCAGTGCAAAGGAGACAGCTTCAAACTGAGCGTCTACCTCCCTCCCTCCCTCCCTCCATCCATCCCTCCCTCAGCCAGAGCTGTCCAACAAGGGAAAGGACAACCAACCCTCCCAGGGGGAAATTTACCAATGCAGAATTTTTCTTGCTAAGCACCAACCTGAATAAATGATGCTTGTTTACCTTCGTTTCAAATGTAGGGTCATGTAGGAGATGTTACAAAATAATTGGTGGGGGTGGGACAGGTGTGTGTGTGTGTGTGGTTGGGGGGGGTGGTGGGAGCTGGTGCAGTGCAATGGAGTACTTCACAGAGATTAATTGATCGACATTGTGTTTCTTTGGTCTTAGTCTATACACTTTGAGATCATTTACCAAACTTTTAGATATATCTTTTGCTATGATGTCCCCTGGAAGCTGTCTCGGAACAGAACCTCACGTAGTTAAATCATTATATTAAAAGCAGGCAATGAAAAGCCCAATTAGAATACCTTTCACCTGAAAAGTGTTTCCCAAGCGTTATTGGAAAAATTGCAATCGTGTACAGTATATGTTAGAAAACATAGGAAAGCAGGAACAGAAGACGGTCATTCAGCCCATCAAGCCTGTCCCACTAATTTATCAGTGCTTGTCAGATCTTTTAAACCCAATGTCACTCCCTTTGACATATTCTTTTATACTGCTATGATTCAAGTTGTGCTTCATCTGATGGAGAATGTTTACAATGGAGGAGTCATGAGATGTAACTGGAAAAATTACATTTGATCTCAGTTAGAGAATTGTATTCCAACCAATGTGACTTGAACACATATACAATATGAGCAGGCACAGGCATTCAGAACTCAGATATCAGCAGAGTTTGGGTTCCTTCCCACCTGTAGTTTGTTGACTACATTAATGATGATGATAATCCTTGCATTTGGTATAGTGCCTTTCATGTTGGGAGTATATCTCATAGCGCTTTACAGATTTTACTGTGAAATGTAGTGACTGGATTTGTAGGCGAACATGGGAGCCTATTTGCATGCAGCAATGTTCTACAAACATTCATGAAACTAATAATCAATTTTATTAGGACCATATTTAATGTTTTCTCTCCTGCCAGTCTGAAATCCTCAACCTATGTGTATAAAATGGTATCCCTCCACTCAGTAGTTGTACTGTGAACCTACCTACCTACCTGCCCGTACCCTCCGTTCCTCTGGCTCCGGTCTGCTCCACGTCCCCCGCCCCAACCGCCCTACCATCGGTGGTCGGGCCTTCAGCCTCTCAGCCCCCAGGCTCTGGAACTCTATCCCCCAGTGCCTTCGCCGCCTCCTCCCTTTCCTCCTTCAAGGCCGGTCTCAAAACCTTTCTCTTTGACCGAGCCTTCAGCTCCCCTCTCGACTCTCTTCCCCCTCCTCGCTCCCTCCCTTCCCTCCCCTCACCCTGACCATTTCCCCCCTCCTCGCTCCCTCCCTTCCCTCCCCTCACCCTGACCATTTCCCCCCTGCTCGGGTCATGACCCAACTGTGCAGCGCCTTGGGACGTCCTCCTGACGTGAAAGGCGCTTTATAAATGGAATCTTGTTGTTGTTGTGAAATGGTGAAATGGTCAGCATCCACAGTTGCACACTCCACCTCACCAAGCCACCTGGGCATCTTGTTCGACCCTCAACTGTCCTTTCTCTCCCATATCCGTGCCATGACCTGTTCTGCCCTCCACAAGCTCCGCAATACAATATTGCCTGACTCCGCCACTGCCTCACCCCTCAGACTGCCAAAACCCTAATACGCGCATTCATCACCTCAAGGCTCGACTACGGAAACTCTCTCCTTGTCGGCCTCCCCAACTCTTCCCTCCATAAGCTGCAGAGCATCCGGAAATCTGCAGCTCGTGTCCTCTCCCGCACCTGGCTCTGTGACCCCATTACCCCCACCCTCACCCGGCTCCACTGGCTCCCCATCCCTCAGAGGATAGAATTCAAAATGCTCGTCCTCACTTTCAAGGCCCTTGACAGCCTTGCCCCTTCCTACATCTCTGACCTGCTGACCACCTATCAACCTGTCCACTCCCTCTGCTCAGCAGGCACTGTCCTGCTCCAGGTCTCCCGCCTGACCCGCCCTACCATCGGTGATCGGGCTTTCAGCCTCTCTCTTTCAGCCCCACTCTATCAGCCCCGCTCTTTGGAACTTCATCCCGCAATCCCTTCACCTTGTTCCCTCTCTTGCCTCCTTCAAGGCACGACTCAAGACCCTACTTTTTGACTGTGCCTTCACCTGCCCTCCTAAAGCCTCTGCCCTCCCTCATCCCAACCCGGCCCCCCAAGTTCGGGTCCTGATCCTTGACTGTTCAGTGCCTTGGGATGTCCTCCCGATGTGAAAGGTGCTTTACAAATGTAATTTTGTTGTTGTTGTTGTGGAGTCCTGTAGCTCAGTGTTTAGAGCACTCGCCTTGCAAGCGACAGGACTTGTATTCTATTCCAGCAGGGTAAAATGTTGGACAAGTTTCCTTACTCATCAATCGTCTGTTTACGTAGCAGTAAGTAGGAAGCCAGTTGTTAGTCGATTGGCGGATCGCTTTTCCGGGGGTAATGATTCCTTCAAAATATATTTTTAAAAATAATAATTTGGTCGCTCAATCCAGGACTGTTGTAGGACACTGCTGTGTGCAATTGGCTGCTGTGATTTGCCCAAAAGATATGCAGTTAATTCACTCTACAGTATATTCTGTGAAGCACTTTAAGATGTCTTGATGATGTGATAAAGTGCTATATCAAATGCAAGGATTATTATTGGTCTTCAGAAGTTGGGGAGAATTGTTTGCCGCCAATATATAGACATTCCATTTTGCAGTAAATCCTGTGAAGCCCTTTGAGATGTCCTCTTGACTAGAAAGGTGCCATACTGAATGCAAGGATTATTATTATTGTATGATGGACTTGAATTAATAGAAACAGCTGAATTGCCACACTTCTGAAACCCACAATAAATTAAAAACACATGTGTTGATGATAATTCAGTTCCACAAAATTGTGAGTTTTAAATGAAAGAATTTACCAAATAAATAAAGTTCACTAAAAGAATGTTGAAGATGGTCATATTATTTTAAGTATTTGAAATTTAAATGAAGTCCTTATGGAAGGATGATGTGATGGCATTGTGTACTGGAGCACCAAAACCAGATTTCCTGTTGTTTTAATTCTCATTAAAATGAGACGTGAAAGGCACTATACAAATGTCATTTGTTTTTGCTTGTATGCTCCAATACTGCCCCAAGGTAGATACTAATCCAGTCCAATTTTGAATGTGTTAACATGCGGTTACCTACAAAATCTAGTCACTTTCAGATATTCTCCCGATGTGAAAGGCACTATATCAAATGCAAGGAATTTTATTTATTATTATCCCACAGTAATACTTGTCACTTTTCCTTGAACCTTTTTGAAGATAGGGATTCTGAAACTGCAAGGAGTGGGGGTGGAAATTGTTGTGTATAATGTTTAAATTAACGCATCTGGTGTTAATTAACACGTTCATTGGAATTAGTGCCTTATGTTAATTAACACACCGACTGGTCCCAGGAGTGATGGAGTCCCACCCCCTTCAAT